TTGGTGCATTCATAATTGTTTGAAATTTTTCCCAACAATCATAAAAGCCTCATGCATCAGTTGTGAGACTGAAACATGTAATCACTAGGTTTTAAGAATTCGCATTTGTGGGGTCATCCTTGAAGTTCATCTTCTGCCAATTTTTGGTTTGGTTTCACAAATATACTTCATTTTCTTCTGTGAGAATGCTGTCATTTAAATAGCACTGGGTGCCTGGACAGCTCTATAGCATTGGTCCATGGCCTTCTTAAGGTAAGAACTATCTTGGAATCCCCTTTCCATCCTCAAATAAGCATCTAATCTACTGCATCTATTTTGCTGAAATGTTCCCTTCCTAGTAAGGTTAGCAAAAACGTCTTCACTTCAAGTTAAGTAGTGTCAATTTTAGCCTATACCAGTGGATTTATGATAACTTGAAAATCGCCACCGATCCTAACAAATTTGTCCCTTTTAACAAATGTGGCTCATGAGTTATAATCAATGTTTCCCTCAGTTTCCTTCTGCTCCCTTTCAGTTTCTGCTTGTTTGCATACAGCATGCAGAATTGGAAGTGCTTTGCAAAATTTCCAGGTATTTTCTTGTGAACTCTGTTTTGCTTTTGATGTTCTTGAGTGTGCCATCCTCCACCATCATTTGCAGCTGATTCTCCATGGTCTCCATGGACAAGAAGCAAAGTCTGCAAGTTGTTAATGGAACTCATCATCAGCTTCCTCAACCAAATAGGAGCCCAGAATGATGTTCCACCTGTTTTCCCAACACATATCAAACGTGCTCTTTATTGTAGTTTATAGTTACAGGTCCCAGTTTAATGAGAATAAATGTTTTCTCCAGCATGAATTTTGATTGCATTTGTGGTGGATTTAGGTTATCATCTCTGAAATGCTGCTAGATTCACACAGTGATCCAGGTGATACAGCAGTACCAATATCCAAATGCATTGATGTGGTTTTATCATTTTTGAAATGAATAATATGGCTGGTTTATGCCTCCTTCTACACTATAGTTTTCCAGATAAACTCACTGTGTTTCACATTCATTCTCAACTTCTTCATCAGTAGCATACAATATTGCTCTTCATTTAAAATAATGGCTTGGTTGCTGATCTTTAGTGGATTTCCAGTATATTCCATGTTATTGCATTATCTGCAAGATTCTTCTTTAATCTGCATTGAGCTAGTATCTATGCCAGAGGTCTTCAAACTTGCCAGCTTTAAGACTTGTGGACTTCAACTCCCAGAATTCTCCAGCCAGCATAGCTGGAGGTTGAAGTCCACAAGTCTTAAAGCTGCCAAGTTTGAAGACCTCTGATCTATGCACTTCTGACACAATGATAGCACAGTTCATTTTGACTTGTTGGTGAGTTTCTATATTATTACAAAGTACTTCTCATTTGCTTCTGCTTCTAACTGAAGCTCTGTAGTATCACCGGCATTGTTTCCATAGAATGAGCAATTTTAAACATTTTTAAATATTAAATCTGAGTCCTTTTAAAAGTTCTTTCTTTTAGAATTCTAAGCTAGCCGATCTCTCATTGCATCTTTTGTCCCTTTCCCAAATTTGCAATGTTCAACAGCTGCATAAAATATAGTGGGCATTCTGTTTGGAGCACTTTGGAGCGCGTGTCAGACCCAAAATCTTTGACAATAATGATTTTTGCTGCGGTGGCACAGTGGTTAGAGTGCGGAACTGCAGGCTACTTCTCCTGATCACCAGCTGCCAGCAGTTTGTCAGATCGAATCTCACCAGGTTGACTCAGCCTTTCATCCTTCTGAGGTGGGTAAAATGAGGGCCCAGATTGTTGGGGGCAATATGCTGACTCTGGAACCCACTTAGAGAGGGCTGTAAAGCACTATGAAGCAGTATATAAGTGCTATTGCTATTGTTATATCAAATGTTCCTGCATTACAGTCAGTTTCAGTTAATGCAAGTTTGAATACTGCAATATTTGCTTTAGTGTGAATTGTAAATTGATACCAGGTAGTGTTTTTTTAAAAAAATATCATTTTATTATAGTGAATAAAATACAACTAACAGTAAAACAAACAAAATGAAACAAAGCAAAAACATACATTCAACCCTAACAACAACAAAAAGTGTACAAAAAAGGAAAAAAAAGTGGTGAATTCAATTTAACATGTAGTTTTTAATGAAAATCAAAATTCCAAATTCTCCCCTCCAAAGACAAAGTGAAGCTTGAGAGGCTATTCTTAAAAATGTATTTTCCTAGCTTCGTTGACAATGTGGTGTCTTTTCTACTGATCAAGCAAAAGACAGTAGTTGGAATTGTGGTTTCTGCTATTTGTTTTGTTAAAATCACTAGAAGAGCTAACCCCAGTGTGTCTCTTAGAATTACAACATGCATAGCCGGGCTGAGGTAACTGAGTAATAATACTAAAATCATAGGCATACTTCATCAATTAATCAATAATAAAAAAGAAACAATGAACCAGACTACCATTTGGATCTCTGATTTCCTGAATCAAAAGTTGGCAGGTTTTACAAACAGTGTTTCTTAGCATCAGGCTGATGGTTGCGTTCAATGTGCCTAAAATCCAGAAGGCAGTCATTTCAAGTCATTCAAGATACAGGAGAACACGATTCAAGCTGCTTTGATAGATAAAATGGAAGACGGAAACATGGTGTTTAGCAACACGTAGAGAAGTCATCAACTTTTGCAGACCAGTAGACAAAGAAATAAGTATAATTTGGTTTCTCTTCTACTGCTCGGCCTTTCATCACCCTAGAGAAAAAGGCACCCAGCATCTTTGCATCTACGACTTACTTCACACGGAGGGGTTGTTATGGCAGCAAAAAGCAGTGATGCCAACCTTCTCCCATGTTAATTAATGTACTACTGTGTGTGAAGTAGCTCTCAGCAAACTAATTCTTTAAAATTCTTGAGAGCAATTTGGAAGGGGAGGAACACAGCACCAAAAAAAAAAAAAAAAAAGGAAACAGGTGCTGGGCAGATCAAAGAGCAGAGGAAGAGCTCTCTAGCAGGTTTGCTAATGGAAAGATAATGGCTTTTATAAGGACAAGGGGAAGGAGGGAATAAAGTGACAGGCCTAAGGGTGAATTAAAAGAAGAGAAGAGTCCTTGTAAAATGAAGCCATAAAACAAATCCATTAGCTGTAAACACTGGATAATAATAATCCTGTAAATGGTACTCCACTTCCATTTTGAGCATCATGGTAGGTGAAAGGTGGCAGTCTGCCACAGACAAATAGGCTGCATGTTATTTTTTGCAAACGGCCTTGGAGAAGCCTAGCAAACATACTGACAGCTGTATTTAAAAGGAGCTTCTAGGGAGGGAAGAAAATGACTCCTTGTGCAGCATTATGACTTGAGTGTCTCTGAATTCAAGACTTCGCATAAATGCGGGAGTGTAGTTCCTTTGCTCAGCCTTGCATCTCTCTGTCCTAGAGTGAGGTGCGCATCACTCTTCTAAAATTAACGCAAAGGAGAGGAAGCAGGAAGTATCATTTGCTTTTCCGAGTTCCTCACTTTTGTCTGAAATAGGACATAGGCATTCTATTAATTTAGCATCCTTACTTAGTAAATAAACTTGTCTTTGTCCCTCTCTCATGTCTCACTAAAAGTCTTAGTACATTAATACTGATCTAACAGAGAAGAACACTTCCTAACCCTGCCTGGATAAAACAGAACTTATTTCTACTATGAAATTGCCCGGTATAAACAATGAAGATGTTACCAAGCCTGGTAATGAAATCTCTGCAAGCAAATAACCAAGCTCAGAGAGCACAAAGAATTCCACATCTTGGTGTTCTATTTGCTTTCCTTGATATATATATATATATTTTAATTTGATTTATATGTTTATTATTTGTTTATTTATTTACTTATTTATAAATCATCTTTATATGGATGCCTGTTTCATAGAATATGACTCTGGGTGGCATACAATAACACCATAAAATAACAATATTAAAACAGAATGCCATTAAAAACCTTGATGTTATTGTTTCAAAAGGCTAAATGAGAACATTAAATGTTATGAACAGTGGAGTCTCCTCAGGAGATCTCTGTTCCCTTGAGGCCTCCGGGCCTATTGACATGGACAAACTTTGAGGGATTTCTGTCAGAGTTTGTTGCAGAAAACATATCCAGAAGCACACACAGATAAACTGATGCAGCAAGATTCATTAACTTCTTTATATACACAATAATACACAAAGTAAATTTACAATACCAACAGCAGATTCACAGTTTCATTTCAGCTCAGATCTGCAGACGAGTTCACACACACTGGTTTCAGTTTCGCTTTCTCAGCACAGACTCAGAAGCTGCAGATTAAGACACGCCCTGGCTCCAGTCTGTCTCAGCTCCCAATTGGCTGATTTAGTTGCTATGCCTATTCATTGCTTGACCTTGTTATCATGTCTTCCCAGTCATGAATATTCTGACAATTTCCAGACAGATGAGAGGGAAAGGACCAACCTCACCTAGGGGGAGGGGGGAGGAGATGATGTTCCACAAAGTGAGTATCATGGCATAAAAGGCCCATGTCCTGGCTCCCACTAGATGTAACTCCTTATTAGGTGGGAGACACATCTTGCCTCTTCTTCCAGATCTGATGGGATGGACACATGTAATTGGGGAGAGGAGCTACCTCAAATAGGGGCCTGGTGGCTCAGCAGACTGATAGCATTGTGATTAACACCAGCTGTCTGCAATTACTGTAAGTTTGAATCTCACCAGGCTCAAGGTTGACTCAACCTTCCATCCTTTCTAATTAGGTAAATTGAGGACCCAGTTTGTGGGGGCAATAAGCTGACTTTGTATAAATATACAAAAGTATGAAGGCTATTGCTTAACACATTGTAAGCCACCCTGAGTCTCCGGAGAAGGGCGGCATATAAATCAAATTAAAAAAAAAAAAATCTCCCAAAGATTATCTAAACCAAAGGTCTCCAAACTTGGAAACTTTAAGGCTTGTGGACTTCACCTTCCAGAATTCCTCAGCCAGTTTGGCTGGCTGAGGAAATTTGGGAGTTGAAGTCCACAAGCCTTAAAGTTTCCAAGTTTGGAGACCCCTGGTCTAAACCATCAAAACTGAACTTCTTATTCTCTTGTATTGTGACTCCTCTGAGTCTGACTGCTCTCGGTGATTGTTGTCTGTGTCCTGCTGCCTAAGTCTTAGCAAGATGGCTTTGAATTTATTTGTTATTTGCTGGGTCTGGATTCCCTGCAGATGTCGGCAACTCACTGGCTTTTTCCCCCAGTCATCTGCTCTAATGCAAGAAGTTCAGCCATTGCCCAAGACATCGGGATGATGCAGGCTGTATGCAAGTTCATTGGTTTTTATTTCCAATCAGATCTTAAGAATTTCCTGCCCCAGGATTGGGAAAAATATTGGAAACATTTTTAATTATATTACCTTGAGAGTTAATTTTTCGTTCTGTGACTATTATCTTTACTTGTTTTTCATTCAGCCCTTCTTTATAAGAATACTCTCATGAAACAGAAAACTTCATTAAGAGATGCTCAGACAGCGATAATACTAAAAATAGAAAGGAGAAAAGAGAATAAACTCAGCATCTGGGGGGGGAATCATGATTTGATACTATGGGATAGAACCCTAGAACATCTAGGATTTCTCCCCATCTCTATTAGTCCCTCTTTTCCATACAACCATGTTGTAATGACAGAAAACATGCATTAAATATGGAAGGACAACATTATATTGTAAGCCTCTCCTACTCTGCTGCCTTCCAACACACGACACCTGCCCTATTTTTGCTCCAAAGGACATCCCTCCCTGAAAATGAAGCATCATATATCCTAAAATATTCTCCAAAACTTTGTGCAATTCTCAGGTACAATGAATTGCTAAAAGTATGGGGTTTGTTTCCTCTTAAAATAGGTTTTAGATGTATTTCCCCAGTCATAGCCCAGATACTAATCTTGGATAGCTTCTTCTCCGGTAACATTGTCCTGCAAACTAGGGCATACAAAACCTTTGCCAGACCAATTCTTGAATACAGCTCATCTGTCTGGAACCTGCACTGCATATCGGACATTAATACAATCAAACGAGTCCAGAGATATTTCATGAAAAGAGTCCTTCACTCCTCTGCTCACAACAAAATACCTTATGCCACCAGACTTGAAATTTTGGGCTTAGATAACTTAGAACTTCGCCATATTCGGTTTGATCTAAGCGTAGCAGGGTTGAAATGCTACTGGTTCGGGCCAGTTCGCCCGAACAGGTAGTAAAAATTGCTACTGGTTTGCCGAACCGGTAGTAAAAATATATTTAAAAAGTTCCGATGATCAGTTGAGCGACGCACGATCGTTGGAACTTTTTTTTTTTTTTTTTTACTTTTTTATAATTTTTTAATAAACGTTTTCGTAAAAAAATGTAAAAAAATAAAAAAAAAAAAAAAAAAGTTCCAACGATCGTGCGTCGCTCAGCTGATCATCAGAACTTTTTGGCAAATAGGTAGTAAAAAATGCTTCAAAAAAGTAAAAAAAAAAAGAGGGGTCTGACGATCACAGCTATGCCACGTTATAGTCAGAGCCTTTTTTTTTTACCTTTTAAAAGTATTTTTTTACTACCAGCTAGGGCGAATAGGTAAAAATTTAAAAGCATAGTAAAAAATGCTTTTAAAAAGTTTTTAAAAAGGTTCCCACGATCGCACGGCACAGCTGGATCACACACACACACATACACATGCTGTTCTACTTACCTTCCCAAGCCTCCTTTTGGCGTGTATTGCGGCACGCATGCTCGGTCAGCGAACCGGTAGTAAACCAGTTCAGATTTCACCACTGAAGCATAGTACATAAAATCATCTGCTACAATGTCCTACCTGTCAATGAATACTTCAGCTTCAATCAAAACAATACAAGAGCACACAATAGATACAAACTCATGGTAAACCCATCCAAACTTGATTGCAGAAAATATGACTTCTGCAACAGACTGATCAATGCCTGGAATGCACTACCTGACTCTGTGGTTTCTTCCCCAAACCCCCAAAACTTTAACCTTAGACTATCTACTGTACCCCATTCCCCATACTCACCCCATTCCTAAGAGGTCTGTAAGGGTCATGCATAAGTGCACCACCATGCCTACTGTCCCTGTCCTAATATTCCCTTTTATTTGTATCCATTTCATGTATTCATAATTATGTTTACACTTGTATCTGTTATCAAATACATGGTCAAGGGTCTTTTTAGCTAGCAGCCGCCTCTGCAGTCTAATGTCTCTGACCCCACATACTAGCTGCTCCACCAAAGCATCATCTAAGTCCCTGTACTCGCAGTCTAGAGCAGCGGTTCTCAGCCTAGCCATGTAATGGTTTTCTAACTCCCCTTCCTCCTGTAAAACTTGTCGCAACTTAAAACGATGGGCTATCCGGGAAGGGGCCGGGGAGTAGTGGCCCTTAAGCTTCTCACGCAACAGGTCCCAGGAGACTGTATGTACTAGGACAGGAGCGAACAATGCCCTAGCGGTTGCGAACATTTCAGGGCCGCAATTAAGGAAATGGGCCCTCTTTTTGTTGCTGGAAAGGTCAGTAAAATCATTTGCCTCCAAGAAGCATTCAAACCTTTCCATGTAGGCATCCCAAGACTCTGATCGTGCATCGAAAGAAGCGAATGTAGGCGGCGCCATTCTTCCGTCCTATTTCTCAGCCAAATATCTCGTCGCCAGTGTTATATTGTATAGCTGAGGCAAGGACGAGGCGACTGAGGCATGAGTTAACGTTATTTATTAACAGGAACCAACAGCAACAGTAACGTAACAGAACTGTCTGTAGATGACAGCTCTTTTATACTCCGAGCTGTCAGCTAACTACCCAATCAGAACAGTCAGAACTCCTGCTTGTTTTTAGCCATTCCCCCTAGCCAATCCCTAGTCAGCGTTCTTGTTGTCAAGCCTCGGTGAATCACAACAAAATAAATAATAAAATAAATAAAATAAATACTCTTACTGATACCCTTCCTGGTGTAAATATTCTATGGCAAGGTCACATGACCACATTGACAAGAGAGGCCAGAAACCAAAATAAAGTAACCTTCCCAAAAATAAGAGTATGGCAGAGCAAGCTTCAAAGCAGAGACTCACCCATTTATAGTTCAATCTCACAACGTCTTCACAGTTTAACCTGTCTTCAAAGGGTGTCATATGACATGGATGCCCACAATCCAAGGAGGTCACGCTTCAACCTGGGTGGCTCCCCAACAAAACTTACCAGTCTGTGCTCTTGACTGCATTGTTCTGCTTTCCTTCCAGACCTGGTCCATTGCTTCAGACATTTCTCTGAGTTCCCGATTTTAATCACCCCAATCAGGGAAACCATTTCTGGCCATTTTGAAGCAGCTGCAGTTTTTAAATGTTAACATAGGTTTAATAATTAAAGAGCATGGAGGAACTCAATTCCCTCTCTCATGCCAAACCAGGAAAGCAATAAAATCTTGGCTCGTTCCACATGCATGCCACTGTTCCCTCCATTTCCATCATTGTGACAATCCCAGTCTCTCTGGGTTTTGCCACTCTGGGTGGCAAAATGGTATGTAGGGCTCTTGGTTACCAGATGTGATTGCCATAGTTTAAAGTAGAATGAAAATCACCGTAGGCACAACAGCTGATTTGAATATTTGGATACATATCCACCAATCCTGACCTTGATTTGCAATGTACTTGCAACGGTTTCCTTCATGGCTCTGTAACATACATGTAAAGAGCAAATAGATATCCTTGTTTTTCAGACTATAGCTTCAGACAGATTGTTATTAGGGTATTTATTATTATAGTTGGTTGCAGAGTTAGCTAGGTGTTTAAATGAATTTGGCATTTCTGTCCACCTATCAAGTCCTTCCCAAGGATCTGGGGAGGAGGAGGAGGAGGAGGATTTCAGTGTTCTGCAGTAATTCTAACTAATCAGAGTCCAGATAAGTCTCATTTGTAAGATCATACTGTATGTGCTTAAAGTCACATAGGAGGAAGAATGGAGATAAACTTCATTTTAAAGAAAAGTCATACAGAGTCCACCTGCTTACTGAAGATGTTACTCCTCAAGTGGAAAGTTCTGGGATTCCATTGAAAAACATGAAAGGGTTATCAGGGCAAATAAAACAATTTTTGCATGAAGGCAATGCTTTCTAGACATTATGGGTGCTCTTAGTCAACTAGATTACTAGCACACCAGATTCTCCTCCTGTTCGAGTGAATGGAGGAATGGCATAATTTTCTGGGGCAGCATTTGTTTTTATTAATCCCCCCTCCCCTTTTACCTTATCTTATATCTCTATTTATTACAATCTCAACAGAAATGATCTTGCAAAGCTGTAACTTAAGGCAATGTCAGAATTGTTAAGCCTGTTTGGATACCAAATCATGAGGGGTCTCTTGGTACTCTCTGAGCTTGGTTGTTTTCTTGTAGACATTTCATTAGCCAAACTAGGTAACACAATGATGATGATGATGATGATGATGATGATGATGATGATGATGATACCTAGTTTGGGTAATGAAACATCTGCAAAAAAACAAGCAAGCTCAGAGAGCACCAAGGAGCCCTCATTTGAACCCTGAGCTACATATATTCTCCTTTATTGATACCAAATCATCTGGTGATGCCCCATCTTTTGACTTTCTAGTTTCTTATTGAACTTGTTTATTATTGGCTGAAAAGGGCCATGCTCGGTGGCACAGCATTTTATTTATTATCTCAATAATTCAGTGACTGCACAAAGTTTTTTTTAAAAAAGTCTATGATTTTGGGGAGATGATCCAATGATCTGCATTATTAGTTCCAAATGCCTAAGAAAGATCATATTATACTTTATCATTGAAAAGTTAAAGGAAAATATTAGGGTTGTGCATGCTTTGTAATAAGAACTGCTCCGGTTCTTGCACGAACATGAAGAGGAGCCCAGCACTCTGTGCCACTCATGAAAGTCTTCAGAGTTGCTTTAACTCTTCCAACAGATGTATCTGCTGTCCCTGTTTCCGAATTCATTTGAAAGCTGGGAAAAGGACCCTTTGCTTTCATGAATCGCAGAGAAGTAGCGCTTATATGAGATGCGAAGCACTTTTTAATTACCGACAAAACTTGCACAATTTTAGTAAACATACTGCTGTCACTTATCGAGAATTGTATCTTTAAAAGATCCTACCCATCCATTGTCTTGGTACACCATCTGACACAACAGAGTTTCATTGACTTCAGTGTCATGCACTTCCAAGTAAACATGTTTAGGATGGCAACCTTGGGCATCGTTTAATCCCTGGACATTTTCAGTTCATTAGTAGCAGCCTACACAGCCATCTGACAGTTGGCCAGAACTCTGCACTAAACTGGAAGATAATGAGCTTTAGAAACAATCTTAGAGGGATGTGAAACCTCCGGAGTATCGTTGGATCGTACAAGGGAAAATTGCAAACTGTTTCACAGATCTTTCTGTTTGAGAAGAATGAGGTCTCTGTGGCGCAATTGAACTGATTTGGTTTCAAAGTAGTCACAGATGAAAATCTCTCCCCCCCCTTTTCCACCCCACTCTCTGAGTTTAAAAAGTGAAAATCCAAAGGCAAGAGTATATTATGGCCTCCTTGGAGCCCAGCTTAACTTTCCTTCAATTGTGTTGGTTCTCAAAGTAGAAATGTATTTGCATTACTTCTCAAGGTATCAGATATATGGGCTAGTTGTTTCAAAACATCTGAAACTGGTTCAAGTAAGATATAAATGGTTGAAATAAGAATAACTGAGCAATGACTGGAATATTTGAGAGAAGGGCACCACCGAAACAAACAAAAAACAACTTTCTTAACTAAGAAGGAGTTGTACAATTTCTCTTCATTTTACTTTCTAAACCAATTCCTTCAGTAAAGATGGATATTTTCCTGTCAATTAAAGTTTTAGAAATAATCAAATTTAGCATATATATCATCTTTCACTCCACTTTCTTGGATAAAAAGAAAATGATTTCCATGAGGATTGGGTTTTAGGGCAGAAGTCCAAGGCGGACAGAATTAATATATCAGTTTAATCCTAGGTCCGGTAATTCATTAATAGCTTGAATAAAGAGGGAGGGATCTTATCAGCATTTCATTAATTAAGGAAAGTTGCAAAAGACAACTGATGCCGGATTCAGTCTTGCTACAATGAATGCTTTTGTGGTTTTTCACGATGAAAGGATGAGTTATAAAAATGTTTATAAATGTATATCAATAAAACAAATAAAAGACAGTTATTATTATTGATCAAGCTTCAAGACATGGGAGCAATGTAATGAAGCCAATGCAAAAGTGCACTTAAGTGGAGCAACGTGGAAGAAAGAAGAACTTTTTGTGTATTGAAAACTCATAATCTGCCCAATATGTCCTACTCATAAAAGTGCCTGATAAACTCCCATCTTGGGGGCTGTTGTCATGGCAGAGTTTCATTTTCCAAAACATACCCAAACAGAAATTCAAACCAAAAGAATAATGAAACCATATTCAGATGTTATTGTATCAATGTGTTTTTTTTTAAATGCATTGTTTTAAGGTTCCCAGTAGTGTAAAATTATTTATAAATGTTTTAAAGAAATAATATTACACTAGTACTGATTCAAAGTGAAATTACATTTTTTAAAAAAAAAATCCTCATTTTTGGAGGAAATATATTGAAAAGTATGTGCACTTATACAGTCTATGGGCTTAACCTTCCCAATTTCTGTTTATTCCCTGTATAATCATAACAAACATAAGGGTGGAGCTCCCTCCTTCCCCATCAGTATTCCATGGTTCGGCTTAGTGCTCTGACAAACTTGCAAACTCAGTGAAGTGAATGGCCTAAGGCAGTGGTTCTCAACCTTCCTAGGTTAAAGCGACCCTTTAATACAGTTCCTCATGTTGTGGTGACCCCCAACCAGGGGTGGGTTCTAAAATTTTTTACTACCGATTCTGTGGGCGTGGCTTATTTTGTGGACGTGGCTTGGGGGTCATGTGACTGGGTGGGCGTGGCTAGCTGGTCATGTGACCGGGTGGCCATGGCTATGTGTATAGGGACTACAGAGGGCTGAAAAAAGTCATTTCTGACAGGTCCTCGCACTTTTGATTGGTCCTCACACTTATGACCATCTTAAGCAATCTTAACAACCATGTCACTCGTTTCACAACTGCTTCTCTTCACCATGGTGATAAGATAGGGCAAAAAACGTAAAATGTGAGGACAGTCGTAAGTTCGAGGACTGGTCAAAAGTGCCCGGACCAGTCAAAAATAACTTTTGCCCATATGATGTCCATATGCATAAAAGGATACAGCAATAGAGAGGGATGAAGGAAGGGAAGGGAAATTAGAGTAGGAGTGAGGGTAAGAGAGGGAGGAAGAGAGGAGGAGAAGGAGAAAGGAAGAGGAACTGGGGGGAGAAGAAGGGGGAAGAGAAAGTAAGAAGGAAAGAAAAGAGACAGGTGGTAGGTTTGAGGAGAAAGATTGCTGTACAATAAAAAAGATGAAATTTAAAATTTAAAGATTTTATTGGATTTTATTGAAGCTTCTTGGCTGAGAAGCAAAACGTCTTCAAAGAAAAACCAGAAAGTCCAGTTGCTTCTTGAAAAAGCACCTTTGGGACAACCATGACCTGGATGACTGAAAATCTCCATAGACATTTAGCTAGGAGAAAGAGTACCTTTTGTTAGCATTTTATTTATTTAGTTGTTTGTTTGATCTTTATTACTTTATTAGTAACTCAAGGTGGCAATAATTCCAGTGGTGGGTTGCCCCCGATTCAGACCAGTTCATAAGAACCGGTAGTAAAACCGGTGGGAGGCCCCGCCCACCGCCCCGGATGTCATCAGAGATCTGCACATGCGCGATCCCGTTGCGAA